TAGAGCACCAGCCCTTAAGTCAGGCGGACCTGAGTTCAAATCCAGCCTCAGACCAAACACTTGACACTTACTAGCTGTGTGACCCTGGGCAAGTCACTTAACCCCAACTGCCTTAAAAAAAATAGTAACTTGAATTTATCCTGTTTTATAAATTACATACTGACAATTATGGGATGCAAAAATTTTATTTCCCAGTAACTAAATGTTTTTTTTTTTAAAAAAGATGAGACATTTCACTAAAAAATCCTCTGATATCCTATTTTGGCATGGAAGTGACTCTGGGTTCTCCATGCATAAATTATGCCTTGGGTGATTCTATCAAGGTGTAAAGGCTTGAAACAGATGTAGCCATTGATGCATCATATATCTGCCATCTAAAGACCATCCCAGAAAAGCTTAGAGAGTCTCATCATTGAAAGGTTAGCTGCTAAGTGATGAATGTTTTTTTTGAACATAAAAACTCATGAATACTATCTAATATGGCATTGAAATATGATTATGAACTTGATATAACTATATGTCTGAGATTCTGGTTTCATTAACATTGAAGGCATTACTGCTGACAGAATTTCAATGGATTAAGGAAAGAACAAGTTAATTTTCACAGATTTGTAAAAATTTTGTAAGTGACATATTTGGAACTTATCTTCAAAGAAGATTTACCTGATGCTGATAGTGTTCTCTTCTTCATTTAGCCCTATGGCCTCAACACAGTCTTTACTATTATCAAATGCTGACAAAGATACTTAAATGATACTACTGTTTTATTTCCAAAAGATTTAATAGCCAGGGATTTTTCTCATTCCTTATACTTGAATATGGTAATTTCAAAACTAATTTTTCTTCTGTCCATATTTGGAAGAATTATTTAGCATAAAAAATTCTGTTTTGATTACTTTTCTTAATCATTTAATTTAAAGGGGAGAAAAAGTCCTTGTCCTTAAAAGGAGGTTTTGAATAGGCCTGAGTATCTGAGTACATTTGTCAAAAAAAGGTTGCTTGGCCTTTTGCACGTAAGCCTCCTAAAGCTTATGAAGGACTGTGGAATGTTTTTTCAATGAACGGTATTTCAAAACAATACAGCTGCACTATAAAGCACAGTAGGGAAAATCACCAACAGAGGGCAGGATAGTTGTAATCAGTGAAGCCATGTGATAGAAGTTCTTTGAACACTAACAGATATAGTGTTTGTTTATGACTATTATGAAATTTAGAAAATTAAATAAAGTTTAAAAAAAACATGCACACTTCCCTTACCACAGCAAATGACCTTCAAATAGTACAGAAAAATATACCAATACCCTCTACTTCTAAAACAGATAATTGATTATTTCAAGGCAGAACATTTATGGCTTTACCTTTAGACTTAAAAAGGAAAGATATTTATTCATTATCATTAAAAGAAATTTAATAGTTTATACTTGTATCTTACATAGTAGTGTTTCTAAACTGTTGAATTCATATAGAGTTTTGCAGAACACATCCAATTTATCTAGCACAAATGAATGTAAACAGAACACATCCAATTTATCTAGCACAACTGAATGTAAACAGAACCTGTTCTGTCCCACACCCTCTTCTCTTCTCTTTCTATACCACTTCTCTTGGTGATCTCATCAGCATCCATGGCTTTAACTACTATCTCTATACTGATGATTCTCATATTTACCTCTCCTGTCCTAACCTCTCAGCTGACCTCCAATCTCACTTCTCTGTCTTTCAGACATCTTAAACTGGATGTCAGGTAGACATCTTAAACTCAACACGTACAAAATGTAATTTGTTTTTCCCCTAAACTCAATCCACTCTTAACTTCCCTATTACTGTAGAAAATATCACCACCTTCCCAATCCCTCATGTTTTCAATCTAGGAGTCACCTTGGATTCCTCATTATCTCTCACCTCCCCCCTTCTCACCCCCCCATCCAATCTGTTGCCAAGGCCTTATTTACTTCACCTTTGGAACACCTCTTGAATACATCTCTTCTCCCCTCTCACAATGTCCTTACTCTGGTGGACCTGTGGGGCCTTATCGCCCCATACTGAAATTCCTGCAATAACCTGCTGGTGGGTGGATTTGCCTGCCTCAAGTCTCTCCCCACTCCAATACACTCTCCATTCCACCACCAAAGTAATTTCTTTAAAGTGCAGGTCTAGTCATGTCACCTCGGTACTCAATAAAGTACAGTAGCTCCCTATTACATCCAGGTTCAAATACAAAATGCTCTGGCATTCAAAGTCCTTTATAATCTATTTCCCTCCTACTTTTCCAATCTAATATCCACCACATACTCTTGTCTGCATATTTATTTGCATGCCTCCCTCCTTCCCTCCCTCATTAGACTGTAAGCTCCTTGAGAGCAAGGACTGTCATTTGGCTCTTTTTGTATCCTCAGGGCTTAACACAGTGACTAGCACATAGGTGTTGCTTAATTAGTGTTTACTGATTGAATGAAATTTTGCAGTTAAAATTAATCTTCAGGGTCCTCAGCATCTGTCTTTCTGATTCTTTCACGTTCCCACTGTCTTCTCGTACTCTAGACAACTCCCACTTTGAGAAACAGGAAAGGATCTGTCAGTCATTTAGATACCTGTTGATTTAGTCTGAAGTACTCACACAGTAAAGGGACTGGAGAAATCATCTATCCAATCCTCTTATCCTACAGAGGAGAAAAGATTTTCAATCTGTTCAAAACATTTTCATTTAAGCCTTTAGATGTAAAATTATGGAAGAACAAATGACGCACTTTTATGGAATTTCAGGTATCAGAAAATAGAAAGGGAGTTTTGTTGGAAGTCTAGAGTTACTATCTCCTGCCTCAAAAATCTATGATTAGTTATAAGGCTAGCTATGAAAATAAATTCAATTTAGGCAGCATTCAGATTCAGGAGGTTGGGTTTTTAGGAGTGAGTAGCATAGGAGAGTTAAAGAAAAATTAGAAGGTATAATTTATGGTACTCATACCCACCCTCAAGAAGGATAATTCAAAGAATTCTTGCTATGAATATCTAAGACCAGTTCCTAGGACTTGCTAAGGAAAGGGAAACATGGACCCTGTTTTCAGGTGCTCAACTTTTTACTCCTCTTTACCAGTTATAGGATGCTAGAACATTTAGGGCCAATTACTCATTGTGACACCTTTTCCTATTCACTGCTATTTCAGCAGTGGTATCACCACTCCAGGCAATCCCACAGAGAAGAGAACAAGCATTTATTAAGCACCTATTATGTTCCAGGCACAGTGATAAGCATTTTACAAATAATATTTTATCCTTACAACAACCATGCAAGGTAGATGCTAGTATGAGCTTCATTGTACAGATGAAGAAACTAAAGCAGATGGGTTAAGCAATTTGCCCAGGGTCACAAAGCTGAATATCTATGCCTAGATTTTAACTCAGGTCTAACTCCACAGCACTGGTACTGTGGCACCTAGCTGCCCACAGGGTCTTTGCACACAGTCTCCTAGGTCTATAATACTAGATCAATTGAGAAAAGGAAAGAAGAAATGAGATAAAAATGGTAACTTCCACTAGGAGTAGGGGTTATTGGGACAAAGGGAGCACTGGACGTTGGTGCATTAGATTCTGGATACATTTCTTTTATTGTATATGCGTGATAATGATGAAAAACTGTGTTATTACCAGGGAAAATACTTAACATTGAAGTAGACTGCAGATACTTGAAAGACTAACAGTGAAGAAAAGCTATATAAAAATTTGGTTTGGTAGTACAAAAGTAATAATAAATCATTTCCCTCAACTGCTTACCACACTGAATTACAATGCAACATAAGAATATTATGCAGATTACTCTGATATAAATAGAATGATACAATGTTTTATTTGATTACTGGATTAAACTCTGCTCATGTACTCTCAATCTTCATAGTTTCCTGCTTACGTACTACAGGTTGCCTTTCCACTTAACTTCTATAGACCCATATCATTACAATGGGCACTTCCTCTACCAATACATACTTCAAACTCTCCATGATTTTTTCATTCCATAAATTCTACATATCTCCTCACTCCCTTAAGATAGTCCTTTGAGCTTTTTTTTTTTTGATACAAGGACAATATTCTAATTATCCATGGTTACAACTCACTCTTCTTATATGACATGCCTGCCATTTGGTAAGCTTAATGAGTTTTATGTCACTTCTTGTGTTCAAGTTATCATCGGTAACTTGATGTATGCTATGAATACCCACTAAAGGTCCTTTGTGTTATCTGAAATTGACTGAAAGGTATAGGGACTATAAAATGCAGCCATGTTTATTATTTAATTATAAAAATCATTTTTATAACAAAAATATGGCTCTCTTCCAAAAAGGAGTCTCCCCTGCATATATTATCATTATATGATTTTTTGCTGGGTTATTAAATAATTTCATTTTATTCAAGTACTTGCTGAATAGCAACATCGAATGAGGAACATTTATGCTTACCAATTAGGTCCTGCAATTTCATAGAAGACATTCTGTACAAAGTCAAAATGAATGAATGAATGAAAAAGTATTTAAGCACTTACAATATGCTAAACATTGGAGACACACACAGAAAAAAGTGATAGTCCTTGATTTCAAGAAGCTCACTTTCCAATTAGAGAGGGGGTCTCTATAAATGGTGAGGTTCTTTAAATGTTTCATTTTAAAGATGACACTATTGATTATTAACCTTGAAAATTATAGGGCTTCCTCAATGAGATCTATGGCTCCTTAAAAGAGAACAGCCTAGCAATCCACAGAGGAAAAACCAAGTAGATAAAGACTCTCTTTGGCTCAGATTATAACAAAGAGTTGGCATGAGTTAGTTCATAAATGCACATAAAGTGGACAGAAAGACAATAAGCTAAGCTCAAAATTTAATAGGAGAGCAAGCTGGATTTATATGTAGGAAATCATATAGTACTTTTAATGAATCTAAAATCATTATTATATATGTATTTCAGCACTTTTCTAAAATATATATTAGTGAAATCACTTGAATACCTGGACCCACAAGACTTCACTGAATCTGGTATCATAGATAAGATTCTCTACAATCTCTTCATTGGCCAATCTTGAGTAGATGACGCACATTCCAATTCTCTGCATTTCATCCCAACTCAACCACTAAAAGTGCTCAAAAATGCTTAAATGGAGATCTGTAATCAGAGAGTAACATTTAACTCCTTGATCCCATCAACTGCTACTATGGAATCCCTGAAAAGGAAGAATGATCCCTAACACATCAAAAATGGGGCTTTTAATATACAAAAAAGGAAAGTTGATAAGCCATCTTAAGAGTTGCCACATTATCCCTCTAATTTGGATGCCAACTTGGAGGATAGTAGCCATCCCTTCTCTCTCTAGACCTTCTGAAGTTTCACTTGGTTCTACAGAATATCTTTTGATAAATCTCATTTGAAAATGTTAAAAATAAATCATTTGAACAGTTTCCTAATCTAGATGTATATCAAAATCTGACAATGTTTCATCTACTTTGTTTTTCAAGTGTGGATGGTCAGTTCTTTCTCTTTTACTTTACTATGGATTTCATTAAAGAAACTATATATAGTTCCAGTGCAATTAATACAATATCATTTACAATGAAAGTGAGAATCATTTTTCAATTGACTTAATTGTCATTTTGGAACAGTCTTATCCTTATCTTAAATTAGCAGTGGCTAACATTTTGGCTTCATTTTTCTTTAACTTTGCTATTCTTTCCAGGGAAAGTAACGATCTTAGAAACATTCAAAAGCATCAAGAAGTTTTTATCTTGCTTTTTAGAGAAAACCCTTTACAGAATCATTCTGTAAATAATAATTGAATTCAAAGGGCTAAAATTCAATTTAAACATTTTCTTAAGTACCTACCCTCTATCCTTAAATGTGGGCAGGCCTATATCCAATTACTGGAGTAATAAGATGAAATAATGCCACCTTAGCATGATACACTGGCAATGGCACTGAATTAGAAACCAGAGAGCCTGGCTTTGAGTCCCACCTCTGTCACTGTGTAACCTTGAACTTAGTCTTTTTCTGGGCCTCATCTGTGAAATGAGGACGCTGGGCAAGACTGCCTCTAAGGACTTTCCCAGCTTTAAATTTATGCTTTTAAAATCCCTGCCCTGTAGCTAAGGGATATCACATACCCAAATACAACATGAAAAGCTCTATTCCACCAAATCTATCGAAATGCTGAAAAGAGATGGATGAGAGATTCTGGGAGAGTGGTTATCACTTGCAGCTGAAGGTTTCAGATTATTCTTTACAGAAGAGATGGCATCTAAGCTGGGTCTAAAAAAAAAAAAAGACATCAATAGGCTGAGATGTGAAGCAAATTCATTCCAGATTACCAGGGACATCATGTGAAAATACAAAGGCAAGCAAATAAAAAATAAGAAACGCAAGCAAATAAAAGACAAGATAATACTGCAGTTTAGCTGGGACACAGAGTACCTGAAGGGAATCAGTGTGAAACAGCTAAAAAGCAATATTGGAGACACTGCAGAAGGCCTTGAATATCCGGATAAGAAGTTTATATTTTATCTTGTAGCTAGGGAATATTTCGGGAAAGAAGAATGATTTGATCAGACCTGCCCATCTGAAAGACTAATTCCTAATTTCTGCAAAACAGATTAGAGAATTCCTTACTGTTGTCAATTCTACCTCCACAGCCACGTTCCACACTACTAGCTCCCTCCCTTATCACTTCTCCAATACTGAGATAGTCTTGCTGCCTCTAGTATCTCCTTTCTCTAATCTATCTCTATATTCAGTTACCAGTCTGGTGTTTCTCAAGTGAAGGTCTGACCACGTTACTGTTTAAGAAGCTTCAATGACTCTCTAAGGCTTCTAGGAACAAATACAAATTGCTCTATGTGACATTTAAAACCTTCACAAAGTGACTTCAATCTGTCTTTTGATGACTCATCATCCTCCTGTAATCTAAGTTCCAGTGAGACTGGCCTCTTCTTGTTTTCTATATACAATTCAATCTCCTACCACCAGGACTTTGCATTGGCTGTATCCCCTGGCTGAGATGCTCTCTACTTCTTAGACTCTCCAGCTCCTTTCAAGAGTCGGTTGAGTTTTATTCAATTCAATAAACATTTATGAGAAATTTCCTAATTCTTTAAGAAAATGATTTGTCTTTCTTTATACTAACTTTTGTCTGCACTGTGTACTGACAACACTGTACATGCTATTTCTCTTGAGTAGAATGTACTGAGTATCTTACAGTTAAGGACTGTCATCTTTTGTCTATGTATGTTTGGTTTAGTGCCTTGCACAATACTTTGGGCTTAAAAAATATATTTGTAGAATGAGTGAATCTGTGGAGAAGTGATAACTGAAACAAAGAGAGTACTGCGACTGCCCAGAGAAAGTACACAAAGAAAAGTTATAAGAGAGCACTTTAAGGAACACCTGCAATCTGGGAGTGGAAGGAGAAAGGATAATTTATGAAGAAAACAAGGAAAAGAAATCAGACAAAGAAGGTGATCTAAGAGAAAACAATGTCACAAAGGGCAAGGAAGACAAAGTATAAAGAAGGGGAAAGCTTTAAATGATGCATACAGGAAGGATGAAGTGAGAAAAGGATGTTGGATTTGAAAATTCAGAATTCACTAGTAACTTTGGAAACAGCAGTTACAATAGAATAGTGAGGATGGACATCAGATTACAAGGCAAAGAGAAACACAAATGTGTGGTCAGGAAGTAGAAGCAGTGAATACAGAACTTTCTAGAAATCTGGCAATAAAGGGGAAGACAGAACATGACATAAGCACTTAATGTTTGCTAAATCAAATAACAGACTCAAAGGACCGAAAAAAGATGTGTGTTTTTAAGATTTGAGGTTATGTTCAGGTTTAAAGGCAGATGGGAATGAGCCAATAGATTAAGATTCAAAAGAGTAGGGATGATCAATCAGTAACATGGCTTCCCAGGATATAAGATTTAAGTCAGAGGTGTAGGAGTTGGCTTTGGCAATGAGGATGACTAACACAGTAGTAAAGAACAGATGATAGAGAGGACTGAAAATTTCTGATATGTTGATATCAGAATGATACCAGCCCAGGAAAAGTGGGCCTTTCTTGGTTCCCCCATATGCTAATGCTTCCTTCACATATACTGCATATTTCTTGTATGTACCTAGAGATTTCTGTGTTGTTTCCTTCCTTAGAATGTGACCTCCTTGAGAGCAGAGATTTTTTTTTTGTCTTTCTTTATGTACTGAGAATTTACCACAGTTTCATTATAGAAAGTACTTAATATAGGCTTGTCTGACTGATTAAACAAAGCTCACTAAATTCAAGATTTCCTGAGAAGGAGGCTTGGGTATATAGTTAGGGCATTAAGTTTCTTTCTCCAAGAAAGTTTCAACCAGCCCCTGTAGGGAGTGACAGGAAGTTAATGACCAATGAATTAAGGATTATCATGAATCTAAGGAAGTTCACTCAAGGTTTTAAATGTTCATATTTTCATCTACCTACTAGTATTAAGGTTGGTACAACTGTGCAGCAACAGAAACAAAAACGCAAATAAATTCCACATTATTAATTTTTAAAAAGTGAATTAAATAAAATTGAAAAGTTCTTACATGAACAAAATGCAGCTAAATTATAAAAGAAACAATTGGGGAAAATATTTTTCAGCAAATATCACTGATAAAAGTTTGATACCCAACATATATTAGAGAACTAACAAAAACATATAAAAGTAAGAGCAATGAACTTTTCACATGTGGTACCACCCTATGTATCCTAATGATTGTATCCCCTCCTATCCCATTGTTATTTCTATTCTTCTCAACCCTCCAACCCCTAAGTTCCAGCCAAACACCATCCTCCCCTTCCATCTTATCCTCTGGAATGCCTATTCCATTGGCAACAAACTTCCTTTCACTCTACGTCACTTCTCCTCCCACTCCATCCATATTTTAACTATCAGAGAAATCTAGTTCCCCACTAATGACAAAGCCTCCATGGCTACCCATTTCAGGGTGAATAAGCTGCATCTTCACTCACTCCCCTTGGCTCACTGGTTGAGGGAAAATGGAATACTCCTTGTTCCTCATTGCCACTTTCAGGTTCTCTTCCTACCACCTACACTCAGTAACTTTTCCTTATTTGAAGTTCATGCTATCCACTGCTACACTTAATCAAAATCCTGGTAGCTGTAATCTACATACCTCCAGGTCACTAACCTCCCTGCTCAATGAATTTGGTAAATGGCTCAAAATTTTTTTCTGGCTCCCAATTCCTACACTCATACTAGAGGACTTCAATAAACATACTGACTTTACATAAAAAATCCTAACCTTGGATTCCTGGTGGGTGGAGCCAAGATGGTGCAGTGAAAGCAGTGACTTGCTTGAGCTCTTCCCCAAACCCCTCCAAATACCTAAAAAAAAATGGCTCTAAACAAATTCTAAAGCAGCAGAATCCACAAAAAGACAGAATGAAACAAATTTCCAGTCCAAGACAACCTGTATCAGAAAGGTATATTGTGCTGGGCTGGTAGAGGAGCACAGTTTGGTGTGGGCATGCAGGCTGCAGCAAACCTGGAGCAGGCCTCAGAGGACTGAATTGCAGGCAGCTGTGGTGGTTTCCAGACTCCTCAATCAATGAATGCCAAAGACAACTTGGAAGGTCAGTGGGAAAAGTCTGTTTCTGTGGTGCTGAGAGAGGAACATGGGGTCTCAGCTCCAGTTCCCCAAGAGGATGGCCCTGGAGGGGGGCAGCTGCCTTCTGAGCTTCTGGCCCACAGACTGAGGGGGAATCCACTGGATGATCAGAGAGGGATTGCAGGGATCTCTCTGCCAGTGCTGAGGCAGGAATCTCTTGCTTTGCCCATGCTTGGATCTGGGTCACAGTTCTGGGTGGCAATCCTGGGGCGAGGTGGAGCACTGGAGTGGTGGAGCTTGCAGTGGCTGTGGAGAGGAAATCTTCCTCACAGTTCCAAGGCAGAAAAGACTGCTTGTAGTCACTCACAGACCAGAGCACAGGTCATGAAAGGAGTAAACACCTCGCCCCTTATCATATCACCTTAGAAGAACTGAAAATTTACAGGTCCCTACAAGTATCTCTGAAAACAGCTACACAAACCCCTGAAGTTTGGGACAGCACATTCTCCATACTGGAAGAAGACTCTTACCTTAACAAAGAGTTTAAAACTCAAGCAATTGGCTGGGATCATGAGCAAGCAGCACAAAAAGAGTCAGACTATATTATCTTACTTTGGTGAAAAAGAAGATCAAAATATACAACCAGAAGAAGACAACAAAGTCAAAGCTCCTACATCCAAAGCCTCCAAGAAAAATATGAATCAGTCCCAGGCCTTGGAAGAGCTCAAAAGGGACCTTGAGAAGCAAGTAAGGGAAGTAGAGGAAAAATTGAGAGTGATGCAAGAAAATCACGAAAAACAAGTCAACAGCTTGCTAAAGGAGACCCCAAAAAATACTAAAGAAAGTAACACCTTAAAAAATAATCTAACCCAAATGGCAAAAGAGGTCCAAAAAGCCAATGAGGAGAAGAATGCCCTAAAAAGCAAAATTGGCCAAATGGAAAAGGAAGTCCAAAAGATTACTGAAGAAAATACTTCCTTAAAAATTAGAATAGAGCAATTGGAAGCTAGTGACTTTATGAGAAATCATGACACAGTAGAACAAATCCAAAAGAATGAAAAATTAGAAAACAATGTGAAATATCTCATTGGAAAAACAACTGACCTGGAAAACAGATCCAAGAGAGAGAATTTAAAAATTATTGGACTATCTGAAAGCCATGATAAAAAAAGAGCCTAGACATCATCTTTCAAGAAATTATCAAGGAAAACTGCCCTGATATAGTAGAACCAGAGGGCAAAATAGAAATTGAAAGAATCCACAGATCTCCTCCTGAAAGAGATCCCCAAAGGAAAACTCCTAGGAATATTGTAGCCAAATTCCAGAGTTCCCAGGTCAAGGAGAAAATATTACAAGCTGCCAGAAGGAAACAGTTCAAGTACTGTGGAAACACAATCAGGATAACACAAGATTTAGCAGCTTCTACATTAAAGGACCGCAGGCAATGGAATACAATATTCTGGAGGGCAAAGGAGATAGGATTACAACCAAGAATCACCTATCCAGCAAAACTGAGTATAATCCTTCAGGGGAAAAAATGGTCATTCAGTGAAATAGAGGACTTTCAAGCATTCTTGATGAAAAGACCAGATGAATAGAAAATTTGACTTTCAAATACAAGACTCAAGTGGAACATGAAGAGGTAAACAGGAAAGAGAAATCATAAGAGACTTATTAAGTTGAACTGTTTACATTCCTGCATGGAAAGATGATATTTATAACTCATGAGACCTTTGTCAGTATTAGGGTAGTTGAAGGAAAAAAATTATATGTATGTATATATAGATAGATAGAGGCACAGGGTGAGTTGAAGATTAAGGGTCATATCTGGAGAATAAAATTAAGGGATGAGAGAGGATTATACTCAGAGAAAAGAAAGGGAGAGGTAGAATGGGGTAAATTATCTCACAAAAAAAAACAAAAAAAAAGTCTCTTACAGTGGAAAAAGGGGAAGGTGAGAGGAATGAGTGAATATTATTCTCATAGGATTTGCTTAGGAGGGAAAAACATAGACATTCAATTGGGTATGAAAATCTATCTTGCCCTACAGGAAAATAGGAAGAGAAGGGGACAAGAGAGCAGGGCAGATTGGAGGGGGTAATAAAAAGCAAATACTTCTGAAGAGGGACAGGGTCAACAAAAAAAAGAATAGAATAAATGGGAGGGCAGGATAGGATTAAGGGAAATAGAGTTAGTTTTTTACAACATGTCTACTATGGAAGTGTTTTGCATAACTGCACATGTATAACCTATATTGAGTTTTGCCTTTTCAATGAGGGTGGGTGAGGGAGGAGGAGAGAAAATTTGAAACCTAATGTTTTAAAAACATATGTTTAAAAAAAATGTTTTCACATGCTACTGGGAAGTAAGAAATACAGGAAATGGGGTACAGGAGTCTATCTTGCCCTACAGGAAAATAAAAGGGGAAAGCAATAAGAGAAGGGGGGGGGCAGATACAAGAGAGGACAGACCAGGGGAAGGGATATTCAGAATGCATTCCATCTTGGGTGGGGGGAGGGTGAGATAGGGTGAAAATTTGGAACTCAAAATCTTGTGGAAGTAAATATCGAAAACTAAAAATAAATTCATATTTAAAAAAATAAAAAAAAGAATTATATTAAAAAAATTCCTAACCTCTCAGTTCTTCAATCTACTCACATCCCATTACCTACTCTTCCACTTTATCTCAGCCACAAAGATGGTTATATGGTTGTTCTTACCATTACCCACAAATATACCACCTCCATGTTCAAGAATTCCAAATCCCCTTTACTACTTCACTTGGTGATCTCATTAGCTCTTATGTATTTAATTACCATCTCTATGCTGATGATTCTCCAGTCTACCTCTCTTGCCCCCAATCTCTCTGCTGACCTTAAATCTCATATCTCCAGCTGCCTTTCAGATATCTCAAACTGGATGTCCAGTAGACATCTTAAATTCAACATGTCCAAAACAGAACTTACGATCTTTCTCCCTAAACCCTACCCATTCCTAAACTCCCCATTACTCTAAAAGACAATGCCATCTTCCCTCAGGCTCTTAACCTAGGAGTCATCCTTAGATTCCTTATTGTCTCTTACCCTTCATATCTAATCTATTGCCAAGGCCTATCGATTTCACCTTTGCAACCTCTTTTGAATATGCTCCTTTCTCTTCTCAGTCATTGCTTCCACTCTGGTGCAAGGCCTTCATTACCTCATACTTGAACTATTGCAACAGTTGTTGGTGAGTCTGCCTGCCTCAATCCACCCTTCATTTAGCCACCAAAGTAATTTTTCTAAAGGGTAGGTACAATCATATCCCCACTCTACTCAACATACTCATAGCTTCCAGGATCAAATACAAAATGATTTGTGGCATTCAAAGCCCTTCAAAACCTAGTCCTTGGCTCTGTTCTTTCAGTCTTCTTATACTTCAAAGTTCTGGAAAGTGAGGCTGCTGACTTTGCATAGCCCTCCCTTTCTTAAATCCAATTCACTTACATATCATGGCATCACCTTCCTGATGTCACAGTCCTTTGTGAGAACGTAGGCCAAATAATAACCTCTGTGAGGAGTAGTAGGAGCTGCCCCACTACGGACCCAAGTGGAACTGTTCAGTCGGCAAACACCTCTCATATCTCTCTCGTTTTCTCTCTTTCTCTCTTTCTTTCCCCTTCTTTCCTTCTTTCTTTTCCCCTTCTCTTCTCTTCCCTTGGTCTACATAGGGTATCATACCCTTACCTGAGGGTACTCTATCTAAAGGAATGTAAATTTTGATTACTGAAACCTCACAAGATATCTTGGGGTTTACCTCTAGATTTTTTTTTTCTTAAGGACTATGCCTTAAACCCAAATCACTCTGGTTCTCATTGACTGGTCAACAAAAGGTACCAGGCCAAGTTCTATTTGGTCTTTGGGCCCTAACTGGCTCAGAGTGAATGGAAATAGCAATTGTTTCTGTTTTGGCCAGAAACCCTGAGGGTCTTCCCCTCCCAGACTAATTTTTCTTTTTTGAGTGGGGAACCAGGCAAAAAAGGCCTTATTTCTTATCTAGCATTAATCACTGAATGAAGCATTGCCTCAGACAGAGACCAGTTAAAGACCTCAGCATAAAAAGGCCAAGGTCTACCACTACATCCAGGGCCATCTCCAGTTGTCCTGATTATATAGATATAGATACAGATATAGATATGTATATCTATATATCTTGTCACTGGGCCCAAATGGCTCTGGAGGAGAAAGTGAGACAGGTGAATTTGCACAGCCCTCTCTAACTTAAATCCAATTCATTTTCATGTCACGGTATCACTTCACTGATGTCATGGTCCTATTAGAGAAGGAAAGACAAACAACAACTTCTAAGCTCCCCATTAACTCAGTGATTCAGTCACAATGGCCTCCTGGGTGTTCCACAAACAAGACACTCCATCTCTCAGTTCCAGGTTATTTTCTCTGTCTCCCATGACTGACATACTCTCTCCTCTTCCTCTCCAGCTGTGGGATTCCTTGGCTTTAAGTCCAAGCGAAACATACATCTTCTACAGGAAATCTTTTCCAATCCCTCCTAATTCTAGTACCTTGTTTCTATTAATTATTTCATATTTACGTGATACATACTTGTTTGTACATATTTCTTTGCTTGTTGTCTCCCTCATTATTAAACTGAGTTCTTTGGGGGAAGGGATTGTGTTTTCTTATTTTTATACCCTCAGAGCTTAGAGCAGTTCCTGGAATTTGGTAGGAGCTTAATAAAAGTTTACTGACTTATTAACATATCCCACGGAGGTCACAAAGACAAAGGGGACAGTTTCATAGATATAAAAATATTTATAGTAACAAAAAACTGGAAAAAATGTTGCTGTCAATGGACTGAGAAAGGGTTGAAAATATTGTAATGTGTGAATGTTGTATTATTGTACTATAAGAAATTATGGACATGAATTCACATAAATTTGGGAAGACACATATGAACCAATGCACAAGAGAACAAATAGGCATGGTGACCACAATAATGCAAAAGAAACATGACTCCTCTTTCTCTGTAGAAAAGTAAAAAAAAAAGTAAAAAAGTAAAAAGAAAGAAAAGCTCCTGCTTCCAGGAGCCAAGATGGTGGAGTAAGAAATAAGTTGCTTTACTGTCCCTTATTAACCTCTGAAAGCCCAGAAAATACTGCCTCAGGAAAAACCCTGGAACAGCTGAACCAGAAGAAAGATCGGATGCAGCAGTCCTGTAGCCTAGGTAGCTTCAGGGATGAATGGAAAAGGCTCCTCTTGCGTTGGGCGAAGGGAAGCAGTCCAGAACAGAAGGCATCCCAGCAAGCTAGCTGAAAGCCCCACCTAGCATACCAGGAAGAGATCCTGAAACCCAGGTGGTGGAGCAGACAAACAGTAACATCAGGACCCTGAGTGCCTCAGTGAGGGTGGGGGGATCGGTAGAAATCAGTTTGGAAAATCACCATGAGCCTTGGTGTTCTATGGTAGTCAAGTCTCCCAGTGCCTCAGCAAAACTTTGGGAAGGGCCCCAGGCTGAGAAACTTCCCTCACCAGGGAAACATCCTTCTGAAAGGAGCCAAAGAAAGTGAAAGTAGGGAAAGGAAAGGCCTGGGTGACCAGGCAACCTCCAGGGATCAGACTACCCAATCCTACCCCTAGAGTCCCAGTGTTGCTGATTCCAGCTCAACACCAGGTAACCTGCCAGACCCCTACAGTCTCCAACTTCCAGCAGTTGAGACCCCAGCACACAAAGCCAGCTACTAGGTTCCAGGCTCTCAGCACAAGAAGCTTAGATCAGTGCCTCTTACTCCCCAGTAGGAGAGCTCATTTTTTTTTAAAGGCCAGGAAATAAGCAAATACCATGAGCAAAAAGAAACGTTACCATAGATTCTTACTATGGGAACAGTGAAGATCAAGGTAGAAATTCTGAAGAGTACAACACTGTCAACAAACCCACATCTGGAACCTCAAAGGGATTATAAACTGGTCTGAAGCCCGAAGAGCTCAAGAAGGAATTTAAAAGTCAAATAAGAGACATAGAAGAAAAATTGGGAAAAGAAATGAGAGTTATGCAAGAGAGAGTCAATAGCTTGGAAAAAGAAGGACAAAAATTAACTGCAGAAAATAAGTCCTTAAAAAATACAATTGGCCAAATAGAAAAAAAAAAGTATACTGAAGAAAACAACTCTTTAATAAGCAGGACTGGCAAAAGAGAAAAGGAGCCACAAAAACTCACTGAGGAGAAGAATTTCTTAAAAATAAAATGGGCCAAATGGCAAATTCTAATAGAAGAAAACAATTCGTTAAAAATTAGAATTGAGCAAATGGAAGCTAATGACTCTACGAGAGAGCGAGAATCAGTCAAACAGAAACAAAAGAATGAAAAAATAGATGAAAATGTAAAATACCTCATTGGTAAAACAACTGACCTGGAAAAGAGATTCAGGAGAGACAATTTAAAAACTATTGGTTTACCTGAAAATCACGATGAAAAAAAGAGCTTGGACAGCATCTTTCAGGAAATCATCAAGGAAAAATGATCTGAGGTCCTAGAACCAAAGGGTAAAATATTCATAGAAAGAATCCACTGATCACCTCCTGAAAGAGATCCAAAATTGAAAACGCCAAGGAATACAGTAGACAAATTCCGAAATTACCAGGTCAAAGAGAAAATCCTGCAAGCAACCAGAAAGAAACAATTTAAATATCATGGAACCACAGTCAGGATTACACAGGACCTTGCAGTTTCTACATTAAAAGATTGTAGGGCATGGAATAAGATATTCTGTAAGGCAAAGGAGCTTAGATTACAACCAAGAATCAATTACCCAGCAAAAATGAGCATAATCTTTCAGAGGAGGAGATGGACATTCAACAAAATAGGAGACTTCCAAACCTTCCTGATAAAAAGACCAGAGCTCAACAGAAAATTTGATCTTCAAATACAAGACTCAAGAGAGACATAAAAAGGTAAATGGGTCAGAAGAAAAACAACATGTTATTAATAAGGGCAAACTTTTTACATTCCTGTAAGAGAAGATGACACTTGTAACTCTGGAGAACTGTATTGTTATTACACCATTTTAAAGGGGTAAACACAGAGGGTGACTTTGATGTAATGATAAAAAAAAAAATCTAATCAAGTGGGTTAAATGGATCTAAGTAAGTGGCTTAATCTGATCTAACTAAGAAAATGTACTGACAAAGAAGGAAAGGAAGAGGCAGACAAAGGTGAATTAAGTTACAGGAAAAGGCACAAAAATCTATTCTAGTAGAGGGAAAGAAGGGAAGGAGATGAGCACTGTTCGAACCTTACTCTCATCAGATTTGGCTCAAGAAGGTTAGGTTAACAAAATCAGTTAAGTATAGAAATCTAACTTACCCTATAAGCAGTAGGAGGGAAAATGGGAAAGAAAAGGGAGGGAGGATAGAAGGGAGGGAAAAAGTAGTAAGGGTAAAGGGGAAGAAAAGGGAGGAGGCTAATAAAAGGGAGGTGGTGCTTAAAAGCAAAACATTAGTGAAGAGGGAAAGGAGAAAGGAGAAAGAAAAGCATAAATGGGGGAAACAGGATGGAGAGAAAGACACAGAAATCATTACTATGAATGTGAATGGGATGAACTCTCTCATAAAACTGATATAGATAGCAGAATAGATTAAAAACCATAATCCTACAATATGCTGTTTACAGGAAACACATTCGAAACAGAGGGATACAGACAAGGGTAAAGGTAAAACGCTAGAATAGGATATATTATGCTTCAGCTGAAGTGAAAAAAGCAGGGGTAGCAATCCTGATATTAAACAAAACAAAAGTAAAAATAGATCTTATCAAAGGAGACAAGGAAGGAAACTACATCCTGCTAAAAGGCACCGTAAACAATTTACTAAACATATATGCATCAAATGGTATAGCATCCAAATTCTTAGAGGAGAAGTTCAGGGAGTTTCAGGAAGAAATAGACAGCAAAACTATATTAGTGGGGGACCTCAGCCTCCCTCTCTCTGAACTAGATACACCTAACCACAAAATAAACAAGAAAGAAGTTAAGGAGGTGAATAGAATATTAGTAAAGTTAGGTATGGAAAATGCTATTCACATCCAAAGAAAGAACTATAGTTTGAATGCAGATAGAAGGATACGATTTGCTATTTTTTTTCTTCTGTTTTGTTCTGTTTTCTCTTTCTTGCGGTTCCTCCTGTTGGTTCTAATTCTTCCTTACAACATCACTAATGTGAAAATATGTTTAATAGGAATGTATATGTATAGCCTATATCAGACTGTGTGCCGACTTGGGGAGGGAGTGGGGGAGAAAAATTTAAAACTCAAAAACTTATGGAAGTGATTGTTGATAAATCAAAATAAATTAATTTAAAAAAGTAGT